ACCCGCCCCGACGGCTCCCGCGAGGAGGGCAAGTACAAGCGCAACCGGCTGGTGCACGGAGGGCGCGTCCGCAGCCTCCTGCCTCTGGCCCTTCGGCGGGGCAAAGTTAAGGAGAAGGTGGACAGGGCTGTCGAGGGCGCCCGTCGAGCCGTGAGCGCTGCCCGTCAGCGCCAGGAGGTCGCCGCTGCCAGGTGGGCGTCCAGTTCAGAGGGCAAAGCTGGACTAAGAGGAGGGGGTGCGCTGGGGACCGGGAAGGGGGGTGTGCCTAAGGGAGGACCAAGGCCTAAGGCCTAGGGCTTGGTGGGGAATAGCAAGCCTAAGGCCAGGCAGTTGTAGCCCTGGGCATTCTCGGTGTTTATATCCGAGGCTACAGGTGGATGTGGGTGTAACTGTGGGTAGCTGGGTATTTGAGGGAGGTGGTGTAAGACTGTAAATGTGTCTCGGTGTCTTTTGTGTAGAGATGTGTCTATGGAATCCATTGTTGTGTGTGGGAGTAGCAAGGAACCTGTTTTGTGCAGGCCCAGAAATCTCTTGGAACTCAAAACATGTCCCTAGTCTTCCTCCTCTTGCAGCTGATCCAGTCTTCAGGCCTCAGGCTGGGAGCATCAGCCCTGGGTGGAAGAGGGACTGTCCCTTCCTAACCACATCCCAGCCTGACACCATTTCAGCCTTGGGCCTTTGGGAAGTCTAATTTGTACTGCTGACTTATCCACCTGAAAACACAGTCTCTCCCAGTTTTGCCCCCTCTGCCTTCTTTTACCCAACTGATAGGAGGTTTGAAGGGAGGAGGCTTCCCTGTAAATCAAACTTTTATGTAAATCAAATTACATTTCCTTGCATCAGGAACCTTGCTATCTAAAGCAGTGCTGTCTAGCAGGAATATAATATAAGCCAAATAGGTAGTTTTAAATCTCCTAGTAACCACATTAAAAAATAAAAAGAAGTCAGACATTGTGGCACACACCTGTAGACCCAGCTACTTGAGAGGCAAGAGGATCACTTGAGCCCATCAAGACCAGCCTGGGCAACATAGCAAGATCCTGTCTCTAAAAAATAAAAAACCATACAAACAAAGGAAGAGAAAATAAAAAGAAGCAGGTGAGATGAATTTTAATAATATTTTTATTTAAACCAATATATCCAAATATTATCATTTCAACTGGTAACCAGTGTAAAATTATTAAGATATTTTACAAATTCTTTTTGAACTAAGTCTTTGAAATCTGCAACTCCGTGGGCAGCAAGCAAGGCTCCCTGCGCAGCGAGGTGAGCAGCAAAGTGGGCAGCATGGGACTGCCCCTTAAATTTTACACTTAAATCACGTCATTTCCATTCAGACTAGACACATTTCAAATGCTTAATAGCCACAAATGGTTTGTAATTACTGAATTAGATAGCAGAGATCTGAAAGAAGGCCGGGCACGGTGGCTCACGCCTGTAATCCCACTGCTTTGGGAGGCCAAGGCAGGTGGATCACCTGAGGTCAGGAGTTCGAGACCAGCCTGGCCAACATGGTGAAACCCTGTCTCTACTAAAAA